AAGCTTTAAGATATTTCAAAGTGGAAGACAATTAAAAGATTGATTTGTATACTCAAGTATCAGGTCAATCTTATGGAGAGCTCCCAGGTGAAACCCTGAAGGATCATTTAAGACCCAATTAGCCCATTTCTACAACGTGGGTAATCAGAGAGCCATGACACAGGTTTCTCTCATTTGATTTTCAAGTTATTCTCAGGCGACATTGACCAGAGATAAGCACTTTGATTTTTAACAGCGAGTAATAAAAAAATAAATTTCCATTTCACACTTAAAAACACTCCTATGAGACTATTCTCTATAGAGACTTTATAGTTGAAGGCTTTTGCAATTACTTACTTTCCCTAAACTTCAAAATCTAATAGAAAAGAGAACAATGAAGAGAAAATTATTCCCCAGGTAAGACATTGCAAAGTATAACGTGTTTGTGAATTTCTTTAATAAGCCTCACCAAAATATATCTTTAACAATGCATCCCGAAGCTGGGTATAAATACATTCCACATTGGTATGCCTTCCCACGTGGTTGGTAAGATGTGAAACTTGACTGCTAGGGTCCAAACCTCATTTATTAACCTCATGACCTTGGATGATTACCCCAACCATATTCTGCGCCTCAGTTCCCTCGTCTGGGTCACAGAAATCCTGATAGTAATACTGTCTCCATCATAGGGTTATTGCTGTGAGGAGTAAAGGAGTTAATCATCCCTAAATGCTTAGCACAATCTCTAGCACACAGAAAGCACCCTATAAATGTAAATGAGGTTAACATTATATAAAGAAAAGCTGTATTATAAATCACTTTAAGACAGGTTTTAAAATGTACATTGTTGTCAGCAGATCCCCGTCCCCACTCCTCACGAGGCACTGAGACAAGCTTCTAAGATGACTTTTAAGTAAAAGATCATAAAGACAGAGGTTAACATACATCAATTCAAATTCCATTCATGAAAAATAATTTCCTGATGTTGATTAAAACCATTATCTTCTGAAATATTACCTTTTCTAAACACTAAATCCTCAAAGGCTATAGATGAGAAGTTAAGCAAATTAGAAGTCACCATGATTCCTCACTTACTAACAAAATGCCACATAATGAACTTCTAATAATGTTTCTTGTCCACAGATTAGTAACGGCTTAATTCAAAACCACATCATTTCCTGTTTCTGCTTCATTTCCTTCAAAGTGAAACAACTTTTCTTGGATCTGGAGTAAAAATTTCTGGATTAACTAAGTAAATTGTTACCAGAAATAAAATTTTATAAAAA